GGTTCCTACCACTCCGTTTTAATACCAGGTAGTGAGCCTGCAAGCGCTGCCCTCGGAGGAGGCAGACCCAGCCCTTTCTTTATTGTCCAGTTCGCGTCTTGCGTATTATCCGGACCGCACTCAGTGTTTAGATCATCTGAGCAGCTCTTCGTCTGTTATGGCGGTCGGCAGCAGGGAAGTGTCGTACCGAAATTAAGTTTTCCCACTGGATTGTGGATGCCATTCTCTCGCTTATCAGAGCCGAGGTGAGTCTGGTCCCCCGAGAGTGCGTGCGCACTCCACTCGGAGCTTCGCATCCTCTCGGGCGCGCGCATGCAGCGTCTCTCTAACAGACATCTGTAGAGCTGCGGGCTGGGCGACACCCAACACATTTGCAAGGTTTTACAATCTGCGAGTGGAGCCGGTTTCCTCAAGGGTATTAGGTAACCTTTTGGTGATTGAGGAAACAACTGGGTAGGGTGTTGAAACACGCTTGCTGCTCCATTCTCCCTAACACGGAGATACGTGCGCCTTTTTATCTCTCAGTAAAGTTCCCCGTCAGGTGAGCCCTGCAGATTCCTCTGTGGCCCCCAGCACTGACTTAGCGGAGGAGTCACCTGCTGGCCCACTACGTTGTAGTTCTGCCCGCTGGTCAGCCCGCATTTTGGATATAGGTGCCTGCTATGCGTGATCCCCACTAGGCGATCCCATATGCTTATTCCACCACGGTTAAGTGCCCCCCCCCCCCCTGGGTGGACCCGTGTCTTCCCTCTTCGCTAACCACTTTTTTTCTTTGCGTACTCCCCCGTCTTAGGGCTAGTCCATATGTAAATTCTGCCATCTATTCCCCCCTTGGGTAGCGGATGGCCTCCACAGCGTCCTCCCTATTGGGATTGCACGCTTCCCAACGTACTGTCGTATTTTCCTAGAATTATCTAGACGCTCACGACTTCCTAAAAAATATATCTAAATCCGTAAAACTTCTGTTGAAGTAGGATAAATTAGGGCCAGGGACACGTTGGAGAACCGCGCCTCCCATGATGTGGGTGCGTCACGCTTGCTTGACTATCCCCTCATCGGGGGCGTTGGTAAGGTGCAGCCATTATGGCGTTTTCCATACTTCTCCCATACGTGGATTTTCTTAAGATCAAATCCACTCTATAGCACTGAAGTTCCCCAACCGAAGGGGAACGTTCGAGGTTACAGAAGTAACCCTTCGTTCTCCGAGGAAGGGAACGGTAATGCTATACTCCGTCGCCATAATGACTGTCCCTTAGCTGTTTTAAAATCTCTTCAGCTTAAAAGGATGGCGTTTGCTCGCTCCAGGTGTGCCTATATGCTGAGATAATTGGCAATGAAGCACACCTGTGCAAGCTTACACTGCCAATTCATTGCATTCATTGGCCCGTTCAATACTCTTTCAGACAAGCGGCTTCTGAACCGAATCCTCCCATACGTGGATTTTCCCAAGATCAAATCCACAGTATAGCACTTCCGTTCCCCTCCTCGGGAAACGAAGGGTTACTTCTGTAACCTTGAACGTTCTCTCATATATTCTTAAAATAATTTTAAGGCCTTATCGCCCACTTCTACTTGCATTATATGAATCGAAAATTAACCAGTTTCATCTAAGAATTTACTTCATGTAAAAACATACCTAAAAGGTTTATCTTTGCCTTAAAGTTTTTTCTACTGAACACAAAGGAAGATATTTTAAAGAATGCTGGAGACCATTTGCCATCAACAACCGTAACAGAACAAGAACATACTGTGGAAGTTTATAGCCTCTTTCAGACATACAGACTTCTTTTTAAAATACTGGTCAATTCAGTTCACCAGTTTTCCAGAAAGAGAATTTGTAATATTACCAGCAAATTCCCAGCGAGTTCTGCTCTGTGTGAACGCAGATGAATAATTTTGAGATGAGCATGTACACCTTGACATACTGGCTCGTTTCCACTGACTGGTACAGTACAGTACGGTTCGGGTCAGAATGGGTCACCTTTATTCAGTTGACTTCATTCTCGCTCGAGAAAATGTATACAGTAAAGCTTAACGGGTCGCTCACATATCACATGAGAAGCACTTCTCACAAAACATATGCTTTATACACATAAATACTTGTGTATAAATTTTTATTACTAACTTTTCTATGAACATTAGTTGATTATAACTGCAGATTAATGACAGTGTGAAATAGCCTACTGTGTAGGGATAGTTTACAGTTTAACCCAAAGAATGACCAGTCTGGTAGATGAAGAAGAGCCAGAGTCAGAGATTTAAATAAACAAATCAAGTTTACTGAAGATAGTTTGCAGTTTCATTCGCAGAAGCCAGCTTCAACACTCGCAATGAGTTCCTAGGGCGCTCTGCTTACAATCACCAATCAATAACAATTATACTCTCACATAACATCATTAACTGCGTCAAACATATAGGTGTTCTAACCTGATTGGTTAAAACACAGAAAGACTAGAAAAATTTCCATGTGGGGTTCATGCGTACAATTCTGAACAATATCTAAACATAACTGTCAGACATCCTTTAGACTGATTAGAGCTGACTCCAGACCTGTGAAATGGATCAACAATCAAATAGAACACAAACACACAAAGTATAATCTGTTTCTTATCCAAGGCTGAGTGTACTCTCATCCGTCTTTATCAAAACTGGTTAAAAACCTATATAATCTACATTCAGGCAGTTATACTTCCTTACTACACAAAGTCTATCTTGAATAAAAAGTAGAATCACTTTAAAAGAATTAACAGTAAAAATAGCAAAATCACTTTAGACATTTTAGACAATATTAACTCGTAGAAATAACAATAGAAACAGTTGCTTCCAGTCCTCAGCCCTCAGTTCCACTCAAGGTCTCCGTGACCTCTGACCTAGATTGGTGGCTTCTGAAAATATTTATAAAGAGACAGGCAAATGCACTGAACATTCTTGTATTAAGCAATGTGTTAATTTTTTCATTAATTAAAATCAATTCACAGTTAAATACCGAGAAACAGGATGACGAAAAGGATAAACGTTGGTCCATGATGAGATGGATTGGAAAGCAGAAATCTGAATCCTTCAACTGTAACGTCTGCAATTATATAAAATAAATAAATGAACATATATGAACACATACAGCCCCTTACAGTCTCCGATATATTACCAACTACAGAAGAACTACACACGACATGCATTTAGTCCTTATTTGGGTTCAAAAACAACAAAAAATATAGCCCACAGTCAGTGCAAACCTCTTACCTTGTCTGTAATCTTCAGCAGGACATGTAGCCTCTTATAGAGAGTCATTGCATAATTCTGAGTTCATATTAGTCTAAAAGGTGATGATAATAACAAATAAACATGGCAGTTTGTTCAAGTTTGCTGAAAAAATAATGTGCTCCTTTTTTTCCAGCTTCTCCATTGTTTTTTCGCGGGTCACTCTTTTCGCGTTTGTCAACTTCTGACAGGATCGGTTTTAAAAGCACGTCAATAATCAAGCGCACATTATTATCATGAGCTCAAGAAGTTTGTTATTTCAGATATAGACGTGCGGCGAGCGCAATCAAGAAAGCGAAACTGCTCGCCCTTCAGACTGGCTAGTAAAAAACTATGGAGCACAAGGTAAAACCTGCTCTTCTTTTTGGCTTTGTGGCTGTTCATCAAGACGACAAGGTTTGTTTGAGCCCAGGTCGACCATGGCTCGTTATTATTTATATATGTAATTCTGCTGTTATCTCACAGCAGTGTATTTTAAACATGGCATGTTTTTTGTTTTCATTCTGGCTTGTTGCGTAAGCGAATGAAGTATCTCTGTAAACCAATAGCGTTCAGCTGCCGTCTATCCTTTTGCTACCCTTTCACGTGTTTGGTACCCGAAAGGGTGACTAAAAAGTGGTACGGTATGGTTCGATACACTTTTTGACCGTGGAAACGCCCATAAAAGCATACCAAACCAAACCGTACCGTAAACGGGCCATAAGACTTCTACTGTAGCTGCAGAACATTCGGAAACTTATGGTGCATTCACAGTCACACGGTTTATGAAAAATAAGGCTTTAAAATCCTGTGTTAAGACACATTTAGCAGCTGCTTGTTAATGAGACAACATTTCTATGTTCCTTTTAATGCCAATTATAGAAAGATTTTTAATAAAATGCTAATGATAAACTTCTGTGAGTTCTTCTGCAAGTGTTGCGCATAAAGGGGAGTGAGACAGTCTTTTGTTTCAAAGAGGGTCTCACAAGCAGCGGCACATATCACTCTATCAGCTTACGACATGTGAAAGTGTTCCTCCATATCTCTTCATCCAAGTTGTTCACAGTACTTTTCCATACAGTATATTAAGAGAATAGACCATGTTCATCACAAAGACCTTTGTGCATCTTAGTCAAATGTGCAAACAACAATTTTTTAGCTGCAGGTAGCGTCTTGACTTTAGATGCTAGCGACAACACATTTCTCTTGTAGTTCAGTATTTTGGTTTGTTTTTGGGACAAAAGCAGCTATATAAATGCTAAAGTTTTAAAGAAAAGTCAAACCATCAACAAAAGACTGACCTTCATCTTTACAAACACAGCTGTTTAGAGGTCATGTCAGGATTTTCTGGTATTTTTGAATGGATGTGTGAATGGTACATTTCTAGACAAAATATGAAACATCGTTGCCTGCGTGAACAGCACTTTTTTTTTTATTTATTTATCGGTAAAGCATTCCAGATATTTTCTGGTTATTTATCAGTATTACTGTGTGGAAGTGGCTAATAGCTACCAGATTTCAACATTCCTCAGTATATCTTCTTTTTGTGTTAAACAGAAAAATGTAAACTCAAACAATTTTGTAACAAGTGGAGAATGAAGAAATAAATGATGAGGGTGTTAATTTCTAGGTGAACTAGCCCTTCAAAAACTTAAGAGAACATAATTCGACGGTCAGATACTTAAACAATTTTGGGATCTCTTTAATCTATTAAATCAGGATCAATCTGATCCTTCTCTGACGTGATCTTTATTTCAGACCAGATGGAGGTGAAAGAGCAAAAACAAGACCTGAATGCTGAGGATGGGAAGCGCAACTTCAAGACTCAAGGAACAAAGACAAAACGTCCGCACACCTGTCCTCTGTGTGGAAAGAGTTTCAGAAAAAAAGTGAAACTCGACATGCACATAGATACTCACGTTGGAGAGAAACTGTACATCTGCACTGAATGTGGAAAGAGTTTTTCATGGCTTGACAGTTATAAACTGCACCAGAAAACACATGAAGAAAAGAGAGATCATGAGTGTTTGGAGTGCGGGAAGAGCTTCACTAAAGCTCGACATCTGAAACAGCACAGACAAATTCACACTGGAGAAAAAACGCACAAGTGCTTATATTGTGACAAGAGTTTCAGTGATTCGTTGAAGATGAAGTCACATGAGCGAATTCACACTGAAGAGAAGCCTTACTACTGTACTCTGTGTGGAAAGAGCTTCAGAAAAAATAGTAAGCTTACCAATCATCTAAATGTTCACTCTGGAGAGAAGCCATTTACCTGTACTCAGTGTGGTCATGGTTTTAGGTCAGCATCAAAGCTAAAGCAACACATGGTGATTCACTTAGATGAGAAGCTTTACGTATGCTGGTACTGTGAAAAAAAATTTTCACGTCGTGGTGATTGTAAGCAGCACCAGAAAACACACAGTGGCAAGAGAGATCATGAGTGTTTGGAGAGCGGGAAGAGCTTTACTACAGCTGGCCATCTAAATCAGCACCACCGAAATCACACTGGAGAGAGGCCTTTTACCTGCACTCTGTGTGGTCGTGGTTTTATATCAGCATCAAGTCTAAAACAACACATGATAGTTCACTCAGATGAGAAGCCTTATGCATGTTCGTTCTGTGAAAAGAGATTTTCACGTCGTGGTGATTGTAATAGGCACCAGAAGACACACAGTGACAAGAGAGATCATGAATGTTTGGAGTGCGGGAAGAGCTTTACTACAGCTGGCCATCTAAATCAGCACCACCGAATTCACACTGGAGAGAAGCCGTTTACCTGCACTCAGTGTGGTCGTGGTTTTATATCAGCATCAAGTCTAAAACAACACATGATAGTTCACTCAGATGAGAAGCCTTATGCATGTCTGTTCTGTGAAAAGAGATTTTCACGTCGTGGTGAATGTAAGCAGCATCAGAAAACACACAGTGGCAAGAGAGATCATGTGTGTTTAGAGTGCGGGAAGAGCTTTACTACAGCTGGCCATGTGAAACGGCACCTACTAATTCACACTGGAGAAAAACCGTATAAGTGCTCATATTGTGACAAGTGTTTCAGTCAATCTTCAGCAATGAAATCACATGAGCGAATTCACACTGGAGAGAGGCCTTTTACCTGCTCTCAGTGTGGTCGTAGTTTTATATCAGCATCAAGTCTAAAACAACACATGATAGTTCACTCAGATGAGAAGCCTTATGCATGTCTGTTCTGTGAAAAGAGATTTTCACATCGTGGCAACTGCAAGCAGCACCAGAAAACACACAGTGGCAAGAGAGATCATGTGTGTTTAGAGTGCGGGAAGAGCTTTACTACAGCTGGCAATGTGAAACGGCACCAACGAATTCACACTGGAGAAAAACCGTACAAGTGCTCATATTGTGACAAGAGATTCAGTCAATCTTCAGCAATGAAATCACACGAGCGAATTCACACTGGAGAGAAGCCTTACTACTGTCCTCCATGTCAGAAGAGTTTTCGATTTTTATCAAGTCTTCTCAGACACATGAAGAAATGTAAGTCGTCACAGTGAGGATTGTTTAGTTTTCGGATCAAATTCATTAAAAAACATTGAGATAAAAATGTCGGTCTGAATGTAGTGAAATTATCTGAGAACTAGTAGCACTTGTTGCTGATTAAGGAACCGATGAGTTTCACAAAAAAAATAATCCTTGCTATGTAAATAATTACATTTTTTTATTATTGTTAGAAGAATACCAATTCATTTATTATAACAGTTATTTTATTATGTTCTGATTTCACACTACTTTGTGTAGTTAAACAGTAATAGTTGTTGTAAGACGTTTATCAGTGACTGTGAACATTACTGAGTTTTCCTGTGAAATATTGCGTTTTAGTGCCATTTAAGTGAGATGCTTCGAGAACTAAAAAACTTAATTCAGAAATTATTATGTTTTACAGGAAATTCCTACAGTGAAAATAATGATTAGAAAATGTATCTTTTATTGTATTTTTGTAAGACGTGTTCATGGCATTTGTTTACTAATGTCCATTGTATTGTGTTCTGATTGTACACTAGTTTAACAATAGAAGCTGTAAAATATTATATTTGTTTCTTATATTGAGGTGGTAAATAAATATCCTATTCAAACTGTAACATGCCAAGACAACAAGAAACATAATAAACATATTTTCCACTACATTGCAAAAAAAATGTGTTTCTTTAAGATAAGTGAAAGTACTAAGTACTGTACTGATACGTGTAAGTACTGTAATTGGGGATAAATATACGTCTTAAGTTTTTAGATGATGTATAAAAATATTAGATTAGATTTAACTTTATTGTCATTACACATAAACAAGTACAAGGCAACGAAATGCAGGTTTGATCTAACCAGCAGTGCAATAGCAGCAAGTGCAGGATACAGGTATACGTTTTAAAGTGCAGATATAGAAAAACTATGGTGATATTTACAGATGGATGGGGGGAAAAGAGTCAGTGAGGGGCAGAGTTCAAAAGGGAGACTGCTATGGGGAAAAAGCTGTTCCTCAGTCTGCTGGTTTTTGTCCGGGGGAGCCTAAAGCTCCTGCTGGAAGGCAGGAGAAAAAAACTGTCTGTGAGCAGGGTGAGAGGAGTCCTTAAGAATACTGCGTGCTCAGCGCAGACAGCTTTCTTCTGGATGTCCTCTATGGCTGGCAGTGTGGTCCCTGTGATGTGTTTGGCAGTTTTTACCACCCGCTGCAGTGCCTTACGCACAGCAACAGAGCAGCTTCCATACCAGACTGTGACGCAGTTGGTCAGGATGCTTTCTACTGTGCAGCAGTAGAAGTTCACCAAGACAGCTGATGAAAGCTGGTTCTTCTTAAGTTGCCCACTGCACTGCACTGAATCACTGAAGAGAAACACAAAACTACAGCTGACTTTAGTCACAGCCTTTAATGAAATAAAACACATCCAGTCTCTTAAAATTTTAGCAGAGGATTATTAAACAACTCCACAAACAGTATCAGCAGCTTCATCTATTAACCTGCTTGAGTTTCTCTTTGTCAAGATGTCTACTGAAATTCACTAATGTGAACAGTGTTTGCTTTATAGGGCTCTTTGACTTCATTTCTCATGTTAGCTTATCTTTGGTTTTTGTAACTGTGTGTTACAGCAAACGTAATAAAGAGGTTAAACATATGGCGGGGCGTTGGACAGTGGAGGGGTGTCGCAAACGCAATATCACACTCGCAGCAGTGCAATGGCTCTATATCAGCACTGGTGGGACACTAAGGCCAACGCACTCCTGCCAGCAGTGCTGATATACAGCCATATCACACGTGATATTGCACACATATATATAAGCAATATCTCACGAGTAGGCTTGCAGCTTCGTGCCAACGCACGCCTCCCTCCAGTGCTGATATACAGCCATATGGCATTGCTACGAGTGTGATTTTTCATTTATACAACAGTTTTACAGCATAGTTGTGCATTTAAAAAAAGAAAATCAAACCCATAGAGTCAAAAAACCCTTTTGTATTAGGAACTACTTTCTTACGCCATTCATTCACATCATCCACAGCCATATCCTGCAGGCCATGAGCGGTTACCCACTGAAGCTAAGCAGGGCTAAGCCTGGTCAGTACCTGGATGGAAAACCACATGAGAAAACTAGGTTGCTGTTGCAAGTGGTGATAGAGAGGCCATCAGGGGGCGCTCAACCTGTGGTCTGTGTGAGTCCTAATGCCCCAGTATAAGGAAGAGGACACTATAGACCAATTACCATGTTTGTAAACATTCAATATGCGCGCACAGGGAGGTGGCAGAAAGCAACCAGGAGCCCCAGCATTTACAGCGAGGGAATGACATCAGATGCGGTGCAGAGTTTGTTGTCTTAGAAATAAGATATATTACTTACATATTATATGTATTATTTACATAATGCTTACAGCATATTATAACAGCTCGTCACCCAGTGACAAGCACAGTGATTCAGCAAAATTAACGTTAAAGTGAGCGGCGTTCATCTGACAGCTCCATTTGCGATAGCACCCTCCCAATGAATATTGGATAAGACGGAATGACCAAGCATCCAGCCCCAAATATACAATCTCATTGAAGCTCCGAGTGATTTTACAAGAGAGTAGTTAAAAGTCTACAAGTCTTAAGATGCCAACAATTTTGTTCTTTGTTGTCATGTGCAAGAAATAATGCTCCATGATGACCAGAATCAAGAGCTAAACACCGAGATTCTGCCTAGCCAAAGACAAGGAAACAAGACGGAGCTAACGTTATACAAGGCCTGGGTAATTAATCCACAACACGCAAAACGACTGCATTCTGACAGTAAACTTCACCTGTACGGCAGGGTATGTGAACCTACACATAGAAATACAGTTGGTTTTATATTCGCACATTCAGACTTTCTCCTTAATAATATCATTTCATAAAAATATTATTTGCAAACTCTAAATAGCGAACACTTGCAGGTTATTTCAGACCGAATATTCAAAGTGCCGTGGTAAACAATATAGGGAGTGTGTCACAAGTTGTCACTGAATGAATGTGTGAATATAAAACCAAGTTTACCTTAATAAACGTAACTTTCACGTTTCATTCTTAGCATTCAGTGTCCGCAGTTTAATTCACCATATGTAACTGTTTTTGCTGAAATCATTTCAGCAATCAAAAACGAGTGATGTGTATGATTCAGCATAGTGTGACTGACCTGATACAACATGAGAACGGCAGAGTCCAGCATTTCTATTTAGCTCCTTACTTCATTCAGCTCCCATTTAGCCAAAGACGTCTGCAGTCGGTATTAAAGCAGTGTGGTGTATGGTAAAAGTTAAGTTTTCTATTTTTGGACTCGAATCGGCATCCTACCGCAAAACATGACATTTTTCCCATTGAAGCCTGTCTGTTTTTTGCAACCAGGGACCCGTGTGACGTCATGTGTGACGTAGGTTGGTAATTGGTCTATACTGTCACTGAGCGCCGTTTTTCAGATGAAATGTTTAACCGAGGTGGTCATTAAAAATCCCATGGAACTTCTCGTAAAAAGTAGGGGTGGTCAAAGTCCCTCAATCGGCCCTTATGATCATGGCCTCCCAATCATCCCTATCCACTGAAGTGGCTCTATCACTGTCTCTCCACTCCAATAGCTGCTGTGTGGTGAGCGCACTGGCGCTGTTGACCTGTGGCTGCCAAGTGGATGCTGCACACTGGTGGTGGTGTGGAGAGACCCTCCTCATGATTGTGAAGCGCTTTGGGTGTACGGCCATACACAATAAACGTGCTTTATAAATACACATTACATTACAAGTTTATTTCATGTTCTTTAATATTTGTATTTTGTATTTTTTTTCATTGACAATGTAATTCATATTCTGTATTGCATACAAATACCGATACAAACATGTCAACATTTTTTTTTGCAAATAAAAAAAGTTTAGCAGGTTAACTGTAGCTGCTTTAATTCCTCTGTTCTGCTTTAAACTGTTTAATGAGCTTCCAACAACCAGTTTCTTAGTTCAGCATAGACATATAATGTGTTGCATACATTGTGTGTGTGTGCAGTATACACAGCTATTAAACACAATAAAGCAATATAAAGTATGCCATGCACAAAAAATCTGATGTTTTACAAACAATAAATGTCCTGTTTAAAATCACGCATGCATCTACAGTAGTCACCTTAAAACTGTTCATAAAAATATTATTAAAGACATGAAAAACATGAATTACCCACATCAATTTAAGACTAAATAGAGTTTTTTAAACCATACTAAAACATCATTTTCCAAATATACATTATTTACAAAATACATCAATATAAAACATTTCTGTGAGTCTCAAAGCTATAAAGATTACTGCTCCAGTAAAAACATAACTAACACAAGACAGCTCTGCACAAAGTGCTAATAAATTCCCTTTCAAATAAACATCCTTGCTTACATTAAGGCTGCGTTATTAAACCATTCATGCATTATTGCTTATATTATTGTTACGACCCTCAGCACAAAACACTTAATCAGGAAAGCTGGTTTCAAGGACACAATTAAAAAAATATCAAACTCCTCCTTTATTCATTTCAAGAGTTCACACTTAGATATTGTTTGATCAATGATTGAAGGTTTGCATGTTGTCCTGGGAGAGAACCCTGAGCTCAGAGATAATTGAGCCCAGGGCTCCTGCCTGGTTGACTGAGCATGTAAGGGGAGTACGAGATCAGGTAGTTCTCGAGAGCTCCCCATGGTAAAGGAAGAAAAGGAGAAGATGGGGTGGATGGGGGGGTTTACAGGGGGGTTTCTTCTGAAAACGAAGACAAGGGAGTATTTTTTTAGCTGGGCTATTATAGTGAGTTTGGATTAATCTGATTGGCTAGCTAGTGATTGTAAATGAGAGACCAGCTGCAGTCAATCATATCACGTGCTCCTCTCGAAATTAGTTTGTGAAACTTCACTTGATGCTAGTGCGAATTTGAGTTTGCAACTCACAATTTGGAGTTTTCTCTCAGGATCGCATTTGTATTTAGCTAAAATTTCTGTTGTTTTTGCAATTCTTAAAAAAATAAGCAAGTATTTTGACTTTTTTTTCTCTTACAAATCCAAATTTGCATGTCGCATCTTAAACTTTTAGAAATTCAGAAATAAAAACATTAAAATTTTTAGATACAAAAATAAAGGTGACTTTGTAACAAACTGCATGTCAATTCTGACTTATCCCCCCCCACATCATCACCATTTCTGAGATGATTTTCTTGATATTTTTTCCACAAAGTTTTTGAATTCTGAGAAAATTTGCCTTCAGAGATATAAACTCAAACTGCATGAAAAAAGTCGCAATTATCTTATTACCCTGAAAGAGGTTTCTATACATAAAAAAGAACGCTGTAGACCACAATTCTGTTCACACTGTATAAAAACAACTGTCCATTCAGTGAAGTTCATTTTCTTGTAGGTACTGTATGCTAATGGAGATGTTAAATGATTGAAAACAGTCTGCACATGTTCGTCGCTTAGACCCAAAACAGCAGCACACGTCTCTTTGCAAGGTTTCCTGCATCCCATCCAACATGCTTATGTCCAGTCTATGGTGATACTATCTGAAATGGAAAGAATTGCATGTTGTTGGGGTGTATGATGGTCTCAGATGTTGATTTGTTGTTCATGTCTCCAGTTTCTTCGCTCGAATTTCCCTGAGAGAAAGAAAGGCCGAGGTGCTTTCAACTTAATCACATTGTCAAACATCAGCCGTGCTTCATGCTCACAAATGGCATTTCCAGGAGTGCTGTCTCTTAACCTGCAGAGCACAAAAGGACAGGAGAAATAAGAAGAGCGAGAGTAACTTACCAGCACATATAAATCAAGTCAATTGGGAATAACTCAAGGACTGTGGAAAAATAAAAGCCTTTGATCCATTCAGTGGCCTTAAAGCTGTTTGAGGCGACGGCTCTCGCCAACACTGCTGGCTTGTGTTACATTTCCAAAAGCAAATGGTTTGGTTATCCTTGAATAAATGAGGGAAACATTCCACTGGTCTGACAGAATGAATGAGGTTTAGCATTTAAAAGGGGGAAATTTAAAAAAAACTGCCAGTAAAGAAAGCGAAATAATTCATTTAAAGATATTTTATCATCAGTTTTGCTTCTTTAAATGTGTTATTCCGGATCTTTAGAGTTTTACTGAGATACTTGCTATTTCTGCAGTTTTGTAAAAATTTTAATTAAAAATGAATTTATGTGGAATGATTTTAAGAGTATAAATTAAAAAACTTACCATACTTTTAATGTTAACAATTCAAATCCAATTAGAACAACTTGTTTTGTAAACAAAGTCTCTCATACAGTATCTTTAATAAAATATCTTCAAAAAATATTACTTCACAAACTGTATTGTACAGAATTCACTTACAAAAGCCAACACATATTCTAATTTCATATATAAATCATATAAATAAATGAGGCTATTTATTAAGAAATTATTTTTTTAATTATTTAATCTTTTAATTACAGTAATATTAATGATGATGACGATTATGATTTTTACTATTATTTTATTATTATTAAGATATTTAAGTTTTTTTTTTTTTTTTGAAAAGTCTTTTACATTTTGACACATGCAAACCACTGCAGAAATGTTCTAACTAACAGCCCCATGTCATTCACAGTACAGATACTTAATAAGTGACATACTATAAATTTAAACGATTAACATATACTATGTTTTTTGTTTTCACAAGCTTTGGAGACATAACGTAAATTCCGCTTTTAAATCATGAGTCACTTATAGCTTTTGTCATGAACCATGGCTGTGTTCAAAATTACATCAATGTTTTCAAAGTGCACTGAGAAGGGAGCGCAATTGTAAACATGAACATCGCTAAAACTGAACTGTAAAAATACTTTAAAAGCAAATTACACCTCAAAGATGACTTTAATGCCTAAAAAAAATCAAGTTTAAATGTTAGAATGTTCTAATTGAATAGGGCATACAGGGGATAACTGGGAATAGAACACAGCCAGGGACTATGTTTCTAACTACAGCTCCAGAGGTGTAGTTGCAACCATAGAAGTTTGCAACGCAGTTGGCGAATGTTCGTTGGAACGGTGAATTTGGGAAACACCAAATCAACAAACTATGTTTGTAACGACACAACTTGCAACCTTAATTGGCTAACGATGGTTTTCGGAAAGGCACCCCTGATCCATTCACACAGATTCATCTTCTCAAGATCTCTTTTTATCAGATTTACTTGTGGTTTAAAAAATGAAAATATGCTTGACTGTCTCTTTGCTATTTTGAATATACAAATATTACTTAGGAAGGCCACTATGCCATTATTTATTTTAGATGCTCACTGAGTGAAAGAATAATCACCAACCAATGAGAGTGATTGTAAACGTAAGAAAGATAAATGGCTGAAAATACTGTTGAAGGCTAATAGTTAAATCTGCCCTCTACTTTAACTTGCACATGGTGATACCGTCATGTGTGCTCACACTCAGACACAAAACATGAATATCTGACATTTCGCAGAACAGAGCCGGCAAGATGCGGCTGAAATTAAGCACTGTTTATAATCAAACTGATTTCTCAAAACAAGTAATAGGGTAACTATAACTATAGCTGTTATTGGAGCATGGATAAACATGTTTTACCCAAGCCATCAAACGGACATCATCAGAGAAAGACTGCCATTCAAATGGTTAGATTTGGATTAAAGATTAGCAAAACAAATGTAAATTGAAAGTTGTACAGAATAATTGTTCATCTTAATACTAAGAATGTGCGTTAGTAAAATAAACATTTTACATTGTCATTTCATGCAAACTTTTTATTTCAGTTGTGTGTATTGTAGATGTTCAAGTATGTTTGTGTATAACAGATAAGTTTACCTGTGCAGTGCGACTGTGAGTGCAACATACAGCAGGTCTTTGGTATCGGAGAGCATCATCTGCCTTCTGGAAGGCCCATCATGCCTCTGGGTTTGGTAACAGCAGCGTCCTGATAGAGGTCGCTGGTGTGCTTTTCTGTCACTCACAGGAAGTGTCTGAATCGAGTGAAGGCCTCCTGATGAGCAGCGTGATACACTTCCCTCAACTGCCCCACATTTCGACCCACCGACGACTCACAGCCATAGTATTTCTGATAGAAGACATAAAGACAGCATGAGATCAGAACAGTGCATTTTGCAGAGTCCATTATACAATGTATTAGTGCCTGCCCACATTTTCAGTCACGCTGAAATGTTTCCCATTCATTTATCCCTGAGGGATTTTGTAAAAATTGTCTTTAAGCCACGAACTAAAGCAATACAAATCACAACATAACACAGATTCATTTGAAGAAATAATCAGTTAAAACCACACAAAAGATATAACCGCGGTCTCTCTGCGATTATACAAATGGAATTTTCTGCACAGCTTGATATTAGTGAATACATTTTTCCTGCACAAAGTCCTTAACTAAACATGACAAATACAAAACTATGATGAATTAATGCAAAAAGATGGCTTCAACAAATGCATATACAACCAATAACATCCTCAGAGCTCACAACAGGTCGGTCTTAATTGTTTATTAGATAAAAATGCCCCTGTGGAGAAAATAAATAGAGCATTTACTTCCAGAATGTGTGCAGTACGCTTGTAGTGTGAGTGGAAAACGTGTCTGAGTGCGAAACTGAAAGCAAGACGTGACTTTTGAGGGACTGTTTGATACGGATTTAATCATTTTTACAGTTCAATAAATGTAAACTGTCCTAGTTTATTAAAGACGCAAACCCCTCACTGCACCACAGCTGCACCTTCAGCAAACCTTCTAATTCCTGCAGCACAAGGACATTATGTTTGTTTATGACTATAGAAATATAAAACTGTAGGGCTGTATATAACTAAAGAAATCTCCACTGTGCTGAGCGAAAGCGCTTACAAAACAGCGCATCATCGATGATGTAAGCATGCCCAGGCCTGAATGTGAGTGCGGGCCGTCAGGGGAGACGGGAGGGGGGACAAGCGTGCTTTGGCCTGGTTCAAGGCAACGGTACATAGTGTGAGTACGCTCTTAAATGAGAAGGTTCATATTAGGGCTCCACAATAAACCTAAATGAAATTGCAAACTGCAAAAAGTCAAAATCTGTATTTGTTATTCTCATCTTGCCAAGCTAAGTAAACTGATCAGTAGTAAATCTCTCCAAAGGCAAGAGGTCGCTCTCACGCAGAAACTTCAAACACCCAAAAAGAAAAAAGTGCACGGCAATCCTTAGCGGTTTCCTAATTAACAAGGTTTGGGACCCAATCAGCACCGTTGTGGTGAACAAAGCTCATCACTGTCCTTACCCATGCCTGTATTTGTACACATGACTTTTTAAAAACAACCTTGGGAGCTATATTGATGATTGAGATGCACCCAAGATCAAAGACTTTAGATATACACACACCGTTCACTCGCATTACTATGAATGGGGAAAAGTTCAACGCTCAGTATAACTGCCACAGTGTAGGAAATCCCACTGTCCAGTTGAAATAGCCAATAGTAAGTTTTTAAAGGAGTGGTCCATAGAGTATTTTTAAGGCTTGGTTGTGTATATAAGATGTGTGCTCATGCTTCATTTGTAAAAAAATCATGTTATTTGTTCATATCTCTTACTTTGATTATATACAGCTTCTCAGGAAACATGAAAACAACTGTCATATTTTCAAGTTTCACAGAAAGGTAACCAAACAGCATTTCCTGTTGTTTACTTCCTTGTTTACGTCCTTGCTACAACATACCATTAATGATCATTGATCAATTTTAACAAATAAAAATACTGACAGGTTGTGGCACACAATCCACGGCTTCTATTATGGTTGGGGCTGCTCTTCTTTGAGGAGTTTTTAGCCGAGTACAGCACTGAACTGGGAGAGAATCTGGAAACTGTCCTTTGTCAAATTCTAGAGCTATATCTTTTTTAAGATTCCCCGGAAGCACTTCTCTCATTGTGTTGTGTCCTTTGGAAGTCCAAATACAGAAACAGAACAAGCTCTGTGGAAATAGCAGTGTTTAAACATTTGTCTGCTATAACATTACAGCGCCCATGGCCACGGCCCTTTACGGGCTGTAGGCGCTTGGTAAATGCGCATCTATTCACTGTAGGCTTTGCTAAGCTAACTCTGTAATGCTGTGTTCACACCAGATGCGGATTGCACGAACAAATCATGCTATTAAATAAATAGCACGTAAATAGACATTTATAGAACATTTACAGTTTAGTAATTTCATTCGTGGTTCAAATCCGCTTCATTCATGCATCAAATTCACTTCACAATAGACGCAGATTCGTGTCATGGGCAGGGATTTTTCAAATCAAGTGATTCGCACGAAACACTTAATTATGCCGCTTTATTCACGTGAATCGTGCCATTTAAGCCGTTGGATGTTTATTCGCTTCTGCCTTTGCATCGAACTTTGAGCGTCTTAGATTTGGAAATGTTGTTTATGTTCACACAGCTACATTACACATTAAATAAAGTTTAAAATATGATATCGTAATGGACCAGCCCTTTAAAGTCACACAGTTCTATGGGGAGCGTCTGTAAAGATTCGTTTGTTTTTTATGGGAAGCCCTGTCGACTACAGTGTGCCTGCGTTGATTTTGACAGGAGTAAATATATCACAGCACATCCCATCAGTTATTTTGTCCTTCCAGTGTCATCCTGCAGTCTTCTGTCTCTGTTCTTAAAGTGTTTTTAACCGTGTGCTCTTGTTAATATTAAAACAGCAGTAAAGGAGATCGGTGTCATGAAAATGACATGGTTTAAATGTAATAACAATGGGGGAGGTCGTTTCACATTTTGTTGTTGTTTTCTAATATGTAATTTAATTGAGAGTTCAGCGAGCAGTTTTGGAGATTTCAGGACTCCCCCATTCCTTTAGATAGGACTGTGGTCTTGGATGTACTGTCCTAGAACACTGCAAATATGGCAGCCGAGTGAACAAACTTACCTTAAAAAGGGACTTTGATAAGATTTAACTGCTTTTATTGATTTAGTGTGGCTAGAAATCACACAACTACTAAATCATCTCACAGAAGGATTCATTTCAAACTCTCGACTGAAGTTGTTATGTTTGCAGTAAAAACATGTTATCAAATATGGTATTTTCATGTGCTTTCATATGTAGAAACAACAGTCATAGTTCACTGAGAAGCTATGCAGAACGCTCTAAGTATCATAAAATGTTTATATTGGATTTTATAATAGCCTGACTAAATTGTCTGTGATGATGAACATTATTTTGCGTCGCTTGTCAGTGAACTACAACTGTGTAGTAAATGCTGCTCCATCTAAAAGCACATGCAGGAGACTTAATGCTCATTACAGAATTGGATTTTTAATGACTACGTATATAAGCTTATTATCATCTTTGATTATCTGTAAATCCCTAATTCACACTTCCAAACCTTTATGAGTTTCTTTCTTTGGTGAAACACAAAAGAAGGTATTCTAAGGTAAGCAGAAACCAGTGATTTCCATAGTTCACTCTTACTTTGACTCTCCTTCTTAATATCTTCTTTTGTGTTTTGCAGAAAAAGAAAATCATGCATGTTTGAAAGCACTGGAGAGTAAATTTGTGGTAACTGAGAGGCTCAGAGGAACTGGGCTGTTAACAAGTACATGATGCTGCTCAGTATCAGAAAAGAAATACTCTGGATGCGTAGCAAAAACCTATGTATTCTATTATATTGTGAATATTGTTTGATGTTCACTATGAGGTTTGACCTTGGCAGCTGAGAAGTCCAAACAGTGACAGGTGCAGAAGAACATCAAACAGTGTGAGTTTGTGAACCGTGCGTGCAACTGACCTCGGCGCAGTGGAACACCTTCAGCATGTCTGAATGAAAGGTTTCCAGACTCTCATAGTGGCCTGAGTGCAGCTGCTTCTGCAACATAGTGAGATCAACAGGAGCCGAGCCTGATCTGCAAGAGAAAACACACACAAACACACACAAACTGAATATTATTGTTTCTTTCAAATTTTAAATAAATTCTGTTCTTTTGAACTCTCTATTGATTAAATCCTAAAAAAACAACAATTTCAACAAAAATATTAGAGGGACAGTTCACCCAAAAGTGAAAATTATTTTATCATTTACATCTAAGTACTTTAATATTTCACAATATTACTGTTTTTATGACATTTTTAATAAATAAATGCATTTATTTGACAACTACACTTTATAAACTCTTACAGATCGCACATTGGTAAAATTAGCATATCGTTTTTGACTAGCAATACCAGGGTGGCAAATTATGCTTCCATGGTGGTAAATAACTGAACTTTGGATGAGAACCTATCCAGGGGTGCTTTTCCCAAACAACAACATAACTCATGGCTGAACTATCATAGTTTGATGCATCTTTTGAGCATCTTTTTCCCAAAATCGCAGTTTCTCTGTCGAAGTTCTGTCGTTTGAACCATGTTAGTTAGAACGTAAAATTCCCATATAATGAACTCCAAACAGGGTGGAGTAACTACTTCTTTAGAGATAAACCCCATAACTTCTTTTAGATAAAATCATTGGTTATTAATTAAAAATATATGTAAACGGTGCATTCAGTATAAGGGCCTATGTTTCCTTTACAAATATTATTGCGAATATTTCATATTCTATTCCAAAACATAAAGCCACTTACAAAAGCTAACATTTTTTCTAATTTCATATATAAATCATCACGTTGATGGCTTTAATTTTTAGTAGGCCATTTATTAAGGAATAAAAAAACAATATCCTACCTTTAATGTATGTATATATATATATATATATATATATATATATATATATATATATATATATATATATATATATATAAACACACACACACATATACCACTGCAGAAATGTTCTAGCATGTGTACATTTCTTAATAAATAGCTTAAGCTACTATAAAATAAAACTATTAACGTATGCTATATATTTTTGTTTTCACAAGCTTTGGAGACGTAACATAGATTCCACTTTTTTCTATAAGTCATCTATAGCTTTTGTCATAGGCCACTGCTGCAAAAAGAAAAATACTTTTAAAGTGCACTACAAAGGGAAGGAATTTGTCAAAATGAAGATCACCAAAGCTGAACTGTAAAAATACTTTGAAAGGGAATTAATGTAAGAGTGATTACTTTAATGCTTTTTAAAAAAAAATAATTCTGAGTTTAAATGTTGGAACGTTTAAAAGGAATAGGGCATAGGGGAAATAACTGGGAATAGAACACAGCCAGGAATTATGCTTCTAACTACAGCTCTAGAGGTGTAGTTGAAAACGTACAAGTTTGCTATGCAGTTTGCGAATTGTCATTGAATCGATGGTTTTGAGAAACACCAAATCAACAAACTATGTTTGGAATGACCGAACTTGCGACCATCAGTTGGCTAACTATGGTTTTTTGGAAACACACCCCAGTTTACCTAATTAAGTTTAAAGTCTATGTGAAATCAAAATGTTTTTTTTTTTTTTGCTTGGGCACATTGTTATTCTTTAGGTGAACAATTAATCTATGCCAGTTGTTCCAATTACATTTTTTCTTCAATCAAATAAAATCTTAAAACAAAGTCTGACCATTTGTTTCAAGTTTAGAGTGACAGTCAATCTCTGTTGACGTCAGTTTGATGGCTTCAGCCACAGTATTCTTAACCATGCCCTCTTTGCCATTAGTTTGCTAAAAAGGAATTATGCACAAAAGAAAGCCCTGGTCCTTACTCAATATTCAATTTCAGTTGGAAATACAACAACATACTGAAAAAAGAAAAGTTTCAGAAACTTCCGAGGGATATTGCGCAAAAGTGGAATCAAAAAAGCGCAGCTTGACCTAGTTTAATCTGGCCCTCCTGGCATAGTCTGTTGCACGTTTGCTGATCCAGAATGGAAAAGAGCCGCTATGTCAAGCCTAATGTTGATAGGCAGGATAAATGCACATTTGTGGCATTTGTTAACAGACCATGGGATTGATCACTGAATCAACAATGCAAGGATGGGTAAAACCCAATGTGAGCCAATCAGATAATCAGAGAACTCCCATTACCTTCATTTAGAGAATTAAGAGAAACATATAAGGAGGCGTGATAACAAATTAAAGCGTTTACTTTGTGACCAGTGGACATTCATGCTACTAATGAATTTATGATGAAGATTATATAAGACACTTACCCAATATTGCACATCTATTGTATCTTTTTAGTTTATTTGATCAAGTTTATTTAATCTTCATCAATATGATCATTTTTAAATAGTTACACTTATAATTTGTCTTTCTAATTGAGTCTATTTAATCTATAACATGATGTTTCATCATCAAAAAATAATATAAACGTACTAATAACATAAAAATTAAATTATTGACATTTTCTAGTTTGTAATTTTTATTTAAGCAATATCTCATTTGAATTTAAATGTATTACCTTTCTATTCCAAAAGAAGTCTTGTTTTAATGAATATAACTGTTAAATAAAACTGTTTCCTTTAAATGCAACAAAAATGATTGCCTATATTAACTGAGAAATAAATAAAGTATTAATTTTTAAAAAAAGGGCTGAGCACTGTATATGTATTTTCTTTATCTCTTCATATTTCTGAAATCTGAAACCTACACACACACACACACACACACACACACACACACACACACACACACACACACACACACACACACACACACACATATATATATATATGAAGATATCTAATATAATTAAGCATAGCTATTTTTAACACAGAATATTCATTTAATATAAGAATAATAGAATGCAAAAGCAAGAGACTTTATTCTCTATGCGTTAACCATGGTTGAATGAATGAATGAATGACTAAATGAATACTAGAAACTCATCATACACTTCTAAAAATTTTGGAGAGAATGTGGAGACAAGATTAAAAAAAATATTTTTATTACTGATTTAGGAATATAATTTTTTTTTTTTAACATATACTTTTTTTCTGATTCAAAAAATAATAAAAAAAAAATCTAATTTCTCATCTTGCACGCACGAACCTCCTTAAACAACACTGAAATACATCACTGCCGGTCGGCCGGTCACATAAGGTCTAGTTGCAGGAGTTCAAATATTTCAACGGATCTGCAGCTCAATTCAGATCCGAATTTTCCCGCATACGAAGATGATCAAAAATCCACGCAGCTCCCAGATTACTTTCCATTGGAAATGAATCACTTTCACTCTGTCAATTGTCATGTGCAGCGAAAAGGATGCTTGGCTGCCACAAGAGGGCGTATTCCAACAGTCGTGTCCGAATGTCATGTACAGTGGAAAGGCGGCTTATTAGTTGGAAAATATTTGTAAATAGCCAAGAGCATGGAGTCAGTAAACACATTTATTTTTTGAAGCATTGATAACAAAACTAACATCACTAGGATTAATCTTAGCCTGGTTGTTAACTTGCTCTGGAGCAGGCTAGCTGCAAAGAATAAATCTCCATAGTAACTTAATTTAGCCTGCTTTCATGAAAGTGAGTCGAGCTCAATTCAGCCAGGATACCCTAAGCTTAATCCCTTATCTTACTTTTGTGCAATACCCCTCAGGTCAACAGTAGGGCATAACAGACAACACTATAAAATTCTTAACCAAGACTAACTTTTTGTCTAGTTAGAGACAAGACAACCCCCTTAAGTGTTGTATTTTTAATAAATAATAATATTAAATTGCTACTAATTCCCCATTTACACTAATTAATACATTTAAATGAACAGGAATTACTGACAACTGGCATGCTTGATAATAACAATGGCCACATGACTGCTTCAATAGCATTCTGCAATCTACTGGAGCTGACAGGGGCAGGACTTATTTACAGTAACTCCCAGGTTTAATCCCTAATCATCTGGAGACTGTAAAGAGAACAGCGGGAGAGTCGCTGAACAAACAACAACACTGGCAAATGGAAAGCGACACACACACACATGCGCACACACACACACAAACCTCTTTCTGGAGCACAGGTTCAGCAGGGGAGCGGCGAGGGTTTGTCCAGATGACCCTAAAAACACAAATGACAAAAAGCAAGATGAGCTGCACAGGTCTTCACACTGAGCCTCTGTCTACGCCTTTTGCAACACCTCTAATAATAAAATCAGCAGCCGTACCCTTGTGACTGACGATGACGTCATATATCCCCTGGAGTGTTTGCATGAGGTTTGGGCTCTGTTCACTGCACCTCTCCTCGCCTCGCTCTCTGCTTCCAGACCAAAGGTTCCACTGAGACAGGCGCTGGTCTGTAATGTGCACAATACAAACAAATTTCTTAAACACATTGCTGCATTTGAGGATCAGAATTGAAAAAAATCAGTTTCAGTTTGTTCCATTTTTTTTTAATTCCAGTTTTTAATAGTTCTTTTCTCATATGTTGTACTATAAAAGTAAGAGGAATCATGAAACATTTACAATGTGTGTAATATGTAAAAAATATTTTTAAACTGCAATTATCAGGCATGCGATCAGCTGAGGACAAAAAAGAAGGAAGATGAGACCCCACAGCCCTTCAAAAAAATAAAAATAAATAAATTATATACAGTTGAAGTCAGAATTATAAGCCCCCCTGTTTATTTTTTCCCCCAATTTCTGTTTAATGTGGAGAAGATTTTTTCAACACATTTCTAATCATTATAGTTTTATTAACTCATTTCTAATAACTGATTTATTTTATCTTTGTCATGATGACAGTCAATAATATTTGACTAGATATTTTAAGACACTTCTATGCAGCTTTAAGTGACATTTAAAGGCCTCACTAGGTCAATTAGGTTAACTATGCATGTTTGGGTAATTAGGCAAGTTAGTGCGTAATGATGGTTTGTTTTGTAGACTATTAAGAAAAGTTTAGCTTAAAGGGGCAAATAATATTGACCCTTAAAATGGTCTTTAAAAAAATTAAAAACTGCTTTTATTCTAGCCGAAATAAAACAAATAAGACTTTCTCCAGAAGAAAAAATATTATCAGACATACTGTGAAAATTTCCTTGCTCTGTTAAACATCATTTTGGGAATATTTAAAAAGAAAAAAATTCGAAGGGGGCTAATATAAATATGAATGATTGCAACTGTAGGTCTACAATGATATCCCTGAAAGATGTCCAGATTTAAGCAGGTCATCTGCTTTGATGACGATGGGAGACATGCCCACAAATTAAAGGGTCCTATTAAACCCTACTCTTACAGTAATTTATACAACAAATATTTCTATAAACTCTATTTAAAAAAAAGGATTGTCATCAGGCATTTTTTATTGTTATTATTATTCCTAATATTATTACTACTGCACAATAGTAAATGTGTTACATTTCTGTCACAATTATCTGGAGATGAAGAGATATTTACGCTGATAATAGACAGTAGCACCTCCTGCAAGCCTCACTAACACCACTTCCGGCAGCAACCTAGCTTTCCCATGTAGTCTCCCATCCAGGTACCCTGCTTAAACTTCAGTGGACAACCATGTGAGAGTTGCAGAGAGCTAGCTGCCAACCTTCTCATTAAATCTTGACCAATCAAATGCTCTCTAGTGTCTGACATGCCCCGCCCCCTTTAAGACGCTTCTCATTTGCGTTTAATTTTATGTGTTTGATCTTAACTACTCTTGCAGAGCTGTGAAAAAAACTAAATGCTATTGGCTGTTAAAAGGGGAGGAGCTACTCCATATCCCACCCTCTCTTCATTTTTCAGTTGAGGTCATGTAAAACGTTAAATAAAAATTGCCCATTTCAAAGCACTTCACGGAAGCTTTAATGAGTTATGGGTGTGTTTTGGGCATAACGTGCATCAAACAAATCAGCATCTCATCTCCCATTCCCTTTGAGAGCAAATTGCAGTCGTCCCATGGTACAATCACTATTTAAGCAAGGAAACCCTGTTTATAAAAATACCCATGTACATGTGGACATGGCCTAAATGTAATGTAAATGACTCCTCGCTCAAAGTCCTATGCTTCTCTTCTCTCCCTGCTCTCCACGCATTCCTGTCTCTACAGTCGTATCCATTAAAGGTAAAAACCAGCCCAGAAATAATAATGTATTACAACCAAAATAATACTTTGACATAAAGACAACGTCTAGTATTTTGTTATAAGGTTGTCTGTTCAGGAACTTTTGAATTTTCAGGAATTAAAATTTTTTTCATATCTCTTAAAAAAACAGTAATACTAGGTACTAGTGATGCGCGAATGGCGGTTATATTTGTGGGCGCTGCGGACAATCCGCAGGTCGGGCAGGTTGGGTAATAATAAAAAAACATTATGATTAACTGCGGGTGGGTCACGGGAGATGGCAGTGGACCAGCGAAAAAGCAGAGTGGGCTTTGCAGAATGGGAAGATGAGACAACCAAAATAATGGATGAAGTGCAAGAGTACTGTTAAAACTTTCAGTTAGAGGAGTCATCAGAGGAAAATCTGCAGTCGTTCTAGGAGAAACAAGATCGCTTATTTCCATGACTGCTACGCCTTACAAGGGGAATCTTGCATTCCTACAACAAGTGGTGACTACTTTATATATATATATATATATATATATATATATATATATATATATATCCACGGTGACCTATCATCATGCTTAAAACAAAGATTTAAATGACTAAAGTGACGATAGGATGCGGATGAATTATTTTCCCCCCTGTTTATTTTTTTCCCATATGTCTGTTTAACAGAGAAAAGATTTTTTCAACACATTTCTAAACACAATAGTTTTAATAACTCTAATTTCTAATAACTGATTTATTTTATCTTTGTCATGATTACAGTAAATAATATTTGACTAGATATTTTTCAAGACACTTCTATACAGCTTAAAGTGACATTTTAAGGCTAATCTAAGATAATTAAGTTAACAGGTTAGTATAGTTAGGCAAGTTATTGTACAGTATAACGCTGGTTTGTTCTGTAGACTATGGAAAAAAAAGCTGAAAGGGGCTAATCATTTTGAGCTTAAAATGTTTTAAAAAAATTAAAATCCGCTTTTAGTCTGGCCAAAATAAAACATTTTTTTTTCCAGAAGAAAATATATTATCACACATACTGTAAAATTTCCTTGTTGTGTTAATCATCATTTGGGAAATATTTAAAAAAAGAAAAAAATTCAAAGGGGGGCTAATAATTCTGACTTCAACTTCAACTGTATGTCAGCTGATCCACGCCTATCTACTATAATCAAACAACCAAAATCTGTATACGTTGCATCCCTATTAGATACTGCTAATCATTCATTAAAAAGCAGTACCTATTAAGGAAGCTACAAATATAGAATTTAGTTATACGATTATAGTCTGAGGAATAATCACAGTTATCACGATTATTATGCATTAATTTATTAATAAAAAAAACTACTAGTTTAGAAAGTCATGTGAAAACTCCTTATATTTTAATTTAAAGTGTTATTTATTGTTGGTCAGTAACCAAATAATACAGCAAAAATTAATAATAAAAACAAACAATAGTCAATTTCTCTTTGGACTTGAAAATAAGCCAAAAACGTTTTTGGAATTTAAACATAAGTAATAACTTTACATTGAAAAGAAATGACAGAAAATTGTATTTGTGTAATGTAAATCTAAGCTACATATTAGCTAAGAACTTTCCTTTTAAAGAGAACAAATGTAGTCAAAGGTTGCTGCACCCCTGTCTGAAAGACACTTTTGATCAAATACACTACAAAATTTAGTATTTTCCTTTTGTATTTTTTGAAGTATGAAGCTGACCGATCTGCTCTTGTCACATGACTCGTGGCATTCTTCTTACTAGGTGTGCCTGGAAAGCGTGAGCGTGTCGTGCCGCTCCTGCACGCATGTTGTCACCAATATGGGAGCCTTTATTGGAAATATGAACTTGCGTACGAAAACAGGATATATAAACGGCCCTAAATGAATAGCCTCAGCCATAGTTAAAATTAGCCTTTAATCCAGTGCGCATGCATTTTGTGTACAAGGTCGGAACTTTAAACTAGCACACAGTTAGCATAACTTTATTTATTTTCAGCAGTTTTGTTCCATGCAGAAACACGATGTAGAGAAGCCTTTATGATTTATTAACCATGACGAATTAAAGCAGGGTTAATGGTGAAATCGGTTAATCATTGAATCCCTGGCATCTAACAAATAAAATATTGTATATAATGAATGAGTACTGGTGTTATTAGGAAAAGTACTAGCACTTACATATTACTAGTAGTATTAGTAGCTAATGAAAAAATAAAATGTAATGGCTCAGTATATTTCAAACGAATTTTTAAAGCCACATCTTGCAGACACACAATGGAACAGTGTTTAGTACTTAAAGACACAGTGCAATGTGGTGGTGCTTCTCGTCTGTTGTGTGTTGTCTTTAAAATATCTCCTCGAGCGATCGTACAGGTGCGGATACATCTGTAGCAGCTTTGCTACTCGACCCTCCAGCGTATTCATGTTAATAACTTGGTGTTTGTGTTGGATGTTGTTCCTCGGTCTGACCTTATTTGTAAAAATGAGATTGCAAAATCAATCGCACATCAAAAAAGATGAAGTTCCAGACCACACCCACTGATAGTGTAATCGACACGGACCAATAATATCTCAAAGATGTTTAGGAGCCAAAATGAACTTCAGAGAGTTCATTTTGAACTCTGTTCTGGTCGGATTTTGTTATACATAACATTATTTCAGGTCCTTGTTCTATTTTGCTTGAAAGACATCGGGGTCTTCAGTAACAGTTTTATGAAAACAGATAGTACTGTTTTAAGAATTAAATGTAAAAGTGGATTGCCTTACAGAGCTCTACTTAGTTAAAAGTAAATGATACATGCCGTTCTTCGTAAAACACGCAGCCAAAAAGTCATAGTCTATCCACTAAACACTGAAGAACTGTAATGTGAAGTCTTTCTTTGTCTGTCATCCGTATTTTAAGTGCAATAATCGGAATGCACTGAAATACACTTTTTCCCTGAACTCAATGGGACACAGTAGCGTGTACGTGCCAGCTGCGCTTGCCGTTAACCACATGTCCTCTTCTGCCCTTTTGACTAATGCTGAGTGGAAATAGAATTGAGGTGGTTTTGGGAGCTGGTCCAGAGCTACGGCCCGCTGAGCGTGAAGGAGGAGAGGAGAGGAGGAGGAATAGCTGATGCCATGTTCTTCATCAAGAAACCGCCTCAGGTCACAAAAAGCGCTATAAACAGACTGTCCCACTTAATGTAAGCGTCCTTTCGTGGAACAGGTACATGCGCTTACATACGGTACATAAAGTGAGGATTGCTATGAGAAAGGTACACTTCAGCCATGCACTAATAATGTGTTATTTTAAACAAGAGGATATCAATTAATGGGTGTTATCAAAAGATTTTCAAAGCCATCTTTTCTTGACTTCTTTGAATATACTAATACAAATTACGTCTACTTTTCCATTTTTTAAAGCGCTTTTCCTTTGTAGGGTTCTTTGATTGGAGCCAATCCAAGTCTTTCAGGCTATATGCAGGAAAACATCTGGAGGGATGGATATGACATACAATTTCACCTATTTCATATTTAGAATCTTGGCCCTAAGTAAGGAAAAGTCTGGACATATTTTCCCCTGTAGATATCTTTTAATAAGGTCTCAGATGTCTGAATATAACAGATTGTGCTGGACTTTTTAGCGCGGATTGTTTATTGATCTAGACAAAATGTAATTCACCTTTTGCACAAAGCCTGGTATTGAAAAAGGAAGTGATGCTTTAATATTTCATATTACAGAAACAATTGGACTGATGATTCCAGAGGTCTCAGTCTGCTTGTTTGATGCACACCAGGCTTTAGATGGCTGCATTCATACTTATTCAGATAAATCACATCAACAGAGCAATCAAACCATAGTTTGTCTGTTTCAAACCACACCTGTCAAGTATAAATACACCATTAAAAAATGACAATTTATATATCTGTTTTCTTCTTACGTTTTGGTTTCTACTGCATACTCTAAAATAATTGACACCTTGCCCTCTACTTGGGTGGAGGGATTGAGTTGTATTCACTCTTGCTCAATAAATGTAAGACTACAGCTCATACAACTTAAAGAGATGCATAGATTACACTATACTAAAGCCAAACTTAATAAGCTTTATCCTTCTATCTCTTCCTTGTGTGTCAGATGCAAAGGCGCAGTCAGAAACCTATAGGCATTTATTCTGGTCTAACAGTTTTGACTTTATTCCCACACTGTAAAACCCAAAAAGTTAAGATAACTTAAACCGTTTGAGGAAACCGATTGCAACAAACTATTTACTCTAAGTTCAAAAAGTAATCCAAATGAGTACTGTGAACTTAATCCATTAGAGTAAACAAAACAATTTGACCACAATAAAAAGGATAAATAAAACCAACTGAGTATTGTAAACCTAAAAAGTAAAGGCAATTCAAACCATTTGAGGTAATTGATTGCTACAAACCATTTGAGTTAAAAAAGTTCTGTGAGTTTTGTGAACTTACTCCATTTAAGTTGAAGTAATGAGGAATTTAATTAACTAATTACCTTCAACACTGAGTTTAAAACTCTTTTCAAATGAGTAGACTTAACTTTTAAAATGTTTTGATTTACCTACACTCATTCCATTTGATAAAGTTGACTGTTGGGTTTTACAGTGCTGGCTTTTGAAATGGACATTAAAATTGATGTGGCATTTGATTAGCATTGTTTTGGATGTTCAGACCAGCCTCTAACTTGACCTAAACATCAACAACTCTCCCTTATGTTTGGCATGGTGCTGGTCAAGAAAGTGCTTCTGCAGGAGTGGAAATCCACGACACCTCCAAGTTTTTTTAAATGGTTAGCTGAAATGGTTTCTGCCCTCAAACTGGAAAGGTTACAATTCTCTAGATTTAGCAAAGTGTATGACAAAATATGGGTCCCCTTTCTTAGATCTATATGTTAATAATGTCTCTGTAATTATTTATTTTTCTCCTTCCTTTTTACATTTCATTCTATTTTGTTTCTTATTTCATTAGTCTGGCTGAGATTTTTTTGGACGGTGCTGTATAATTGATCTATTGCTTGCCAGTGTTTTGTATATGTACATGGGTATCAGGTAATAACACCGAGATAATTTTGTTAACATATATAGTTGAAGGCAGAATTATTAGCCCCCTTTGAATTTTTTTTCTTTTTCAAATATTTTATAAATGATGCTTAACAGAGCAAGGGAATTTTCACAGTACTGTATGTCTGATAATATTTTTTCTTCTGGGGAAAGTCTTATTTGTTTTATTACAGCTTGAATAAACACAGCTTTAAATTTTAAAGTCAAAATTATTAGCCCCTTTAAGCTATATTTTTTTCGATAGTCTACAGAACAAACCATCGTTATCTAATAACTTGCCTAATTACACTAACCTGCCTAAGTAACCTAATTAATCTAGTTAAGCCTTTAAATGTTTAAGCTGCATAGAAGTGTGTTGAAAAATATCTAGTCAAATATTGTTTATTGTCATCATGGCAAAGATAAAATAAATCAGTTATAAGAGATAAGTTATTAAAACTATTATGTTTTTAGAAATGTGCTAAAAAAAAAATAAACAGGGGGGCTAAAATTAAACTGTACATGATGTACACTACTGTGTTATGTTTTCCTAAAAAACTTCTATACATGAAGTTTTAAAAATGTCTGCACTTTAGACACATTTTAAATCTACTTAGGTAGTATACGTACACACAAGAGTGGGCGTGGCCAGCAGAGCAGGGGAGTGAACAACTGTTGTCAGTTTGCTCATGAAATGAGACCTGAACCATGAGGTGATGCATGATTTGATAGTTTACAAAGATAAAATGCAAAGAAATAAACAGCAATTTAATTCCCTGCTACCTTTGTTATTTGTAAGTTCATATACACACAACGACAATTTATATAAACACTAAATGAGGACTTCTCCCTCAATACCCGGGTCTGAATGCAGACTCAGTCCAGCAGGTCTCTTGTCCTGTCTATTTTAACCATTAGCTCTGTTGGTAATCTGGAGGATTTAGGCAAACACAGCAGCACGGCGACGTGTCTAAATGTGAACAAACTCCACAGATAAAAGACAAAGTTCGCCATTCTCCAATTCTTCTACTGCTCTCCCTACAAAAATGCTTGCTGCACACAAACAGCTTTGCTGTATCGGCCCTGGCAGGATCGCGGGAAAAAACATGCAACAAACCCCGTGGATCATGGAAACAAACACATACAACCCTTCATGAACGGCAAAATCCTGTGTGCCGTGGATCTGTGGACGCGGTCTCACCCAGTGATCAACATAGGGTTACACAGCCTGGCACTAACAGGTTTGCCTTACTTTTGGAAAGCATGCACAGTCATGAATAATTAAGAAGCCGGCTCTTCTCATAGGATAAGAAAACTCCACTATGAATAATAATGAGAAACTAAAGCTTGCAGTTTTGAGCTACGTCACCGATTTTGATCCCACCCCAAAAATCATTTTAAATCGGAAGCTGAAATTAGCTGACAAAAGCTCAAAATAATCCAGTGCACCCCACAATTAAAGCTGACAGGTGCTAACATTGTCTTAAGTGATGCTCAACAGCTGTTAACATCTGTTAAAATATCAAAAAAAGTACTCAAGGGTTTCTTAAACCTTTAAGAGCCCACAGACACCCTGTATTATCAGATACCCTTTTAACCTATTAAGCAGTATAAGTAAGTACATGTAATTTCCTAATATATTAAAATAAGGTTAAACTATTCTGTATAATGTACAATTTATTATGAGCTTAAATGTCATCTCTGTATCAAAATATATTTGTAATCACAAAGTTTTGATGATGCAGCAATAAAGTACATTTAAAATAATACCTTGAATATCAAATAACAAACTGCATAATTATAATCAACCTTTTTACATATATATTTGCCAACATGTCAAAATAAGTATATTAAGATTATTTTTTATTCATCTTTCAGATCTATTAGCCCCCTTTGAATCTTTTTAAAATATTTCCCAAATAATGTTTAATAGAGCAAGGACATTTTCACAGTATGTCTGATAATATTTTTTCTTCTGGAAAAAGTCTTCTTTGTTTTATTTCAGCTAGAATAAAATCAGTTTTTTTATTTTTATAAACCATTTTAGAGTCAAAATTATTACACCTGTTAAGCTATATATTTATCAATAGTCTACAGAACAAACCATCATTATACAATTACTTGCATAATATTCATAACCTGCCTAGTTAACCTAATTAACCCAGTTAAACCTTTCACCTGTCACTTTAAGCTGTATAGAAGTGTCTTGAAAAAAAGATCTAGTCAAATATTATTTACTGTCATCATGGCAAAGATAAAAGAAATCAGTTATTAGAAATTAGAGTTATTAAAACTATTATGTTTAGAAATGTGTTGAAAAAATCTTTCCGTTAAACAGAAATTGGGGGAAAAAAGGGGGGCTATTAATTCAGGGGGACTAATAATTCTGACTTGTATATATTTGGCACAAGCAAAACTTATATAGTACATAATATACTTATATAGACTTAAACAGTACTACCAGAATCTGTTTAGGATTTAAGTACACGACAAATATATTAGATAGAATTAAACTTCTTTTATACAATAGGGACTATGTTAGATTTAACAGTAAGACAACTTTCAGACATAAATGCACAGCAGCCTGCATAATTAAGCTAAGAGTCAAAATAAATGGAAAAAGGTCAGAAAAAGTCCATAAATTATGAACGAATTTGTATTTTTAGGCCATGTATTCTTTTAAGAGCAAAGAACAACGGCATGCACACGCACACACTCACATCATTTACAAGTACACACACTACTGGACCTGACTTGGAGCTGGTGTCTTCAAGATCCTCTTTCTGTCTCTCTCCATCTCCTCTGCTTCCGTTCTCTCGCTCCACCATCTCCTCCCTCAGGAGAAATCCCTGTCTGTCTCTCATTTTCTCATAGTTTCTCACCAGAAAAACGCCGTGTTCCAAGACGAAGCTCCTATCAAGGGAATAAGAGCAAATGACTAATATAAAACAAATGTAAGACAATGGGAAATATGAGTGTGCAGGGAAGAGCAGTGCATAAAATGGACCATAAACCATAAAGGTAAGTGTGCAATTGGTAGAAATGTTTTATCAGTGTTCTGTGTGTTCTTGCCTCTCCTCACAAGACAAGGGCATCATCAGGAGGGGGGAGGGGATATTTTCAGCATCACTGCCTTTCTCCTGCAAATAAAAGTCATTGGCAAAGTGACCAAATTGACCGTGCACTTTACAGTGATTCACAATGATGCAGTCACATTCAGGGTTCCCACTCTAAACCAAATGTCAAATTCCCTGACTTTCACTGACAAAAAAGCTGAATTTCTATTAACCATAATGATTAAGTATTCATTATATTCATTTATTCATATATTTTCATTCGGCTTAGTCCCTTTATTCATTAGGGGTCGCCACAGCAGAATGAACCGCCAACTTATCCAGCATATGTTTTACACAGTGGATGCCTTTCCAACCGCAATTCAACACTGGGAAATACCCATATACTCTCTCAGTCACACTCATACACTAGGGTAAATTTAGTTTTTTTCAATTCACCTATAGCGCATATTTTTGGACTGTTGGGGAAAGTGGAGCTCCCTGAGGAATCCCATGTGAACACGGCAAGAACATGCAAACTCCACACAGAAATGCCAACTGACCCAGCCCGGGACTCAAATCAGCAACCTTGTTGCTGTGAGGTGATAGTGCTAACCACTGAGCCTCCACGTCACCCTTCATTTTATTAACAATATATAAAAAACATTTACTGAGTTGATCGTAAAAAATTTGACATTATAAAACATTTTTTAATGAGATTGTTAAAGAGATAAAAAATTTAGTTCATTTAGATTCATTCATGTATAAAATAAGATGAAGTATAAAGTATAATTCATGTATAAAATAAGTAAGTAATAAGATGAAAACACTTACATTGTTTCTTTCATAGTTACTTTTATATAAATGAAAGAGATCAATGGTTCCCCTTCGGGGGGAACTTCAGCACTATAAGTGGATTTGATTGTAAAATCCACGCATTGGGAGGTTCGGTTCAGAAGCTACTCGTCTGAAAAAGTATTGAACGGGCCAATTAAGAATGAATTGGCAGCGCAAGCCTGCGCAGGTGAGCGGCATAAGCAATCAACTGAGTATGTAAGCTCACCTGGCGCCAGCAGACGCTATCCTTTTCGCTTCAGAGACTTTCTGATCGAGTCGATGAGGGTTCCTCCTGCTGTGACCAGCGATTCTGAGCGAACGAGAGCATTCTCCCGGTCCAGAGTGTGTACACGCAGTGGCAGACGGTCGAGCTGGGTTTCTCCCTTGCCTGGCGTTCTTTGGGTCCGGTCCTCCAGAGCGGTGCGTATAAAGTTGCAAACTTCACAGAAAGAGCAACACAGTCGTGCAGCACGTCCTTATCAGGACGGCGCTCCGACTGTGCGTTTCTGGATGCGGTGGTTTCCTGTCCTCGGATGATGGGCGCGGGCACTGCGTTACATGTCTGGGGGTCCAGTATGTTAATGCGCTGCTCGCGGGCAGTTCATGTCGTCATTGCGATGCCATGACTGTTGCGCAAGATCGCGGTTAGCCTTTGCAAAAGGGCGAACCACCCCAGTTGTCCCCTGCTCTGCAGCGGGCACTCGGGCAGATCTGAGGGTTTCAGCGAGAGATAATCCGTCGCCCACGGGCCCGCGGACCTCCCGCTCCTCTAAGCGCTCCATCCAAGCTTCGGGCGGGGGAAGCGATCCGTCTAACAGATGGTAGCCCTTACGCCCGATGACACCGGAGACCAGATGTCCACCGCGGCATCGGAGGGTGGGCTTTCATTGTCCGATGATGATCCAGACCCGCTCGCCCCCTTCGGGCTGGTGAGCGCTGTCACTACGGATCCTGAAACGGACATGTTAGCCGTGCTTTCCCGGGCTGCTTCGGCCGTGGGTTGGAGATGGTTTATCCCCCAGCTCCGCGGCCGGACCGACTAGAGGGGCGTTCCCTTCTTCCCGGAGGTGCACAGTAGGCTCACGCGGTCTTGTAAAGCACTTTTTTTCTGCTCGTGCTGCGTGTTCCTCCACCCTAACCACTCTTGACGGTGAAACAGCCAGGGGGTATGTGGCGATTCCTCAGGTTGAGTGCGCGATGGCGGTAAATCCGCGCGGCGCCTCTTCTTGGCGGGGTCCGCCTCGTCTCCCATCCAAAGCCTGTAAGTTATCTACCTCCCTCGGAGCTAGAGCTTACATAGCTGCGGGCCAGGCTGCTTCCGCCTTGCATGCGATAGCCACCTACCAGCGCTACCAAGCGCAGGCGCTGGCCGAGCTGCACGAGGGTGGGTCCAACCCAGGCTTACGAGCTTCGCACCGCCGCCGACTTAGCTCTTCGGACTACTGAGTCCGCTGCGTGTGCGTTGGGGAGGACGATGTCCACATTAGTGGTCCAGGAGCGCCACCCCTGGCTGATATGCGCAAAGTCGACAAAGTCCGCTTTCTTGACTTCCCCATATCCCCAGCCAGGTTCGGCGACACTGTCTGTGAATTCACCCAGGAATTCAAGGCGGTGAGAGAGCAGTTGGTGGGTGATGTCTTATCGGCGGTCCGTAGCCCGCTCCGCCCGCCGTGCCATTCATACCTGCTCCTCGCCGAAGGCGCCCGCCTACGAGAGCTGCTCCGCCCCCGCACACGCCTCCGGCGAAGCGAGCGCGTCGGGCACCTCGGAAGCAGGCAGCCCCCCTGCCCAGAACGCCGCTAAGTCCGGCAACGGACCGCGAAGCGCCCCTGGGACAGGCCATCTGGAGAAGAGGGAACTTGCTCTTTCCCCGCTGGAGGGCGGGGCCCCATTTCCAACGGCACTTTTTACTGCCATGAAAACATTATGAAAGGGCACTTTTCACTTCCCCAGATGTGACAGCCCGAAATCTGCCAGTCTGGGACGCTATGCTTTCTAGCTTGCAGATTCGGTGCGTTTCGCCAGTGGCTCACGAGCGCTGGGAGGACGGTCTCCTTTCTCCCACCCCTCGAGCCTCCCCTCCGGAGCTCGGGTTTGGAGTGAGAGCAAATATCTCACCTCCAGCTTTTCCGTGGGACCCGCGAGCTTCCCGGATCAGCACACCCACTCCACGCTGCCCCACTGCTGGTACGTCAGCGATTGTAGCGATGAGTCCATTAGCGAGAGCTCTGCCTGCCTGGTTAGCGCGGGCCAGCTCTTCGCTGTGGCTCATACGCACAATCAGACTCGGCTATGCGATTCAGTTCGCGAAACGGCCCCCCATGTCACGGTTGTGTATTCACCAGGGTCAGCCCCCTGTCCGCCCCTGTCTTGCGAGAGGAGATTGCTGTCCTCCTGGCGAAGGATGCAATCGAGCCGCTCCCTCCAGCCGAGATGGAGAGCGGGTTTTACAGCCCACGCTTCTTCGTGCCCAAAAAGAGCGGTGGGTCACGGCCAATCCTAGATCTGTGCGTTTTGAACCGCTGCCTGCACAAGCTGCCGTTCAGAATGCTCACGCAGAAGCGCATCCTCCGGTGCGTTCGTCCTCTGGGTTGGTCTGCAGCATTAGACCTGATGGACGCGTATTTCCATGTCTCCACTCTTCCTCGCCACCGACAGTTTCTGCGGTTTGCGTTTGAAGGTCGAGCTTGGCAATACAAAGCCCTCCCCTTCGGGCTCTCTCTGTCTCCGCGGGTCCTCACCAAGCCCGCGGAGGGTGCCTCAGCGCCCCTTCGGCTCGCGGGCATCTGCATACTCAATTTCTTTACGACTGGCTGATTTTTGCCCTCTCTCGGAGCAGTTGATTATGCACAGAGACAAAGTGCTCTGGCACTTCCACCTGTGGGGGTTTCAGGTTAACCGAGAAAAGAGCAAACTCGCCCCCGTGCAGAGGATCTCTTCTCTCGGGCTGGAGCTGGACTCGGTCACCATGGCAGCGCGCCTCTCCGGAGAGCACGCTCAGCTGATGCTGTACTGTCTGAGAGAGCTCGACAGTAAAATAGTGATCCCACTGAAACTATTTCAGAGGCTCCTGGGGCATATGGCATCCGCAGCCGCTTCATGCCGCTCGGATTATTCTATATGAGACCACTTCAGCACTGGCTTCACGATCGAGTCCCCAGACGCGCATGGCACGCGCGCGCACACCGAGTCTCTGTTACTGCGCTGTGTCGCCGCGCCCTCAGCCCTTGGAGCGACCCCTCGTTCCTACAGGCCTGGGTGTCAGCAGACACTTCCAACACGGGCTGGGGGGCTGTGCGTTGCGGGCATGCGGCTGCGGACCTGTGGAAAGGTACCCAGTTGCATTGGCATATCGCCTGGAGCTGTTGGCAGTGTTCCTCGCTCTCCACCGTTTTTTTCCGGTGCTGGAGCGGCAACACGTGCTGGTCAGGACGGACAGTACGGCGGCGGTGGCGTATATCAGCCGTATAGGGGGTATGCGCTCTCGCCGCATGTCTCAGCTCGCCCGCCGTCTGCTCCTCTGGAGTCATCCGCGGCTGAAATCGCAGCACGCCATTCATATTCAGGCAAGCTCAACCGTGCAGCCGATGCGCTCTCACGGCAGCCTTGCGTCCTGGAGAATGGAGACTCCACCCCGAGTCTGTTCAGCTGATATGGGCGCGATTCGGGGAAGCCCAGATCGATCTGTTGCTTCCCCCGAGATCGCTCATTGCCAGTTGTTCTTTCCCTGACCGAGTGCTCTCGGCACGGATGCACTGGCTTACAGCTGGCCTCGGGGCACGCGCAAATACGCGTTTCCCCCAGTGAGCCTGCTCGCGCAGTTACTGTGCAAGGTCAGGGAGGACGAGGAACAGGTTGCTGGTTGCGCCCCTCTGGCTCAACTGGACCTGGATGTCAGAGCTCTCCCTCGCGATAGCCCTCCCCTGGCAGTCCCTTCGAGAGAGCACCTACTCTCTCAGGGACAGGGCACCACCTGGCACCCTCGCCGATCTTTGAAGAGATTTTAGACGCGAGGAAGACTTAGGTAACCTCCGACTGCGTTGGCTAATACCGTCACTCGGGCTAGAGCCCCCTCCCCGAGCGCGCCTATGCCCTGATGTGGAGTCTATTCACTGAATGGTGTGTCTCTCGCTGAGAAGACCCCCGTAATTTGCCAGATCAGCGTTGTGCTTTCTTTACGCCGAGAGAAGTTGGAGAGCAGGCTGTCGCCCTCCACACTCAAGGTTACGTGGCTGCCATCTCCGCTCTCA